TGTCTTTTGGATTACCCTTACTGTGATCATTTGACCATGTTTGGTCTATTCAGCACATTAGACATGTTTTTGAGTGTCAAACCATCGTTCCTCTATTGCTCTGCCTTTTCTTTTCTCTCTCCAAACAATTTGCATATCCAAATTTTTTGTCTGAGGAAGTTTGTATGCTTGTGAGGCCTCTTGAGGAAAACATTTGATCTTGGGCTTTGCCAATAAGAAATTGACCAGACTTAGAGATATCATGTTTTTGGACTGTTGATCAGAGAAACAAGAGTTTGATGTCCTTCATATTAGGCTTATAGACATTTTCATCTACATTTATTCTTTACTATTTACGTACCTCTTCAAGACTATGACTATCTTGCTACCAATGATCAAAATGATGATGGGAGAGGAGTTATTATGTAAAGGTAGTTTAGTGGCCTTGGCCTGTAGAGAGTCTAAAACATAACTGACCAAAAAACGTCACATATCAGGTTTGTTTTTGTCTGTCTCAGCTTAAACACCAGAAACAGAACGAAACAAGTAGCCTTTAAAACAGCCAACTTGTCATTTGGATGTTTGTTTTCATGAAGGGAATAAACAACAGAGAAACAGTATGCTCATAAGTAAAGTTAAAGACATTTCATGCTTTCATTTCACAAGGAGCAACATGTAAGATATCGCCTGAATTAAATCATAAAATGACCTTACTATATGATCAGACATTAAGGAAACATGCTATGTTGAAGTGCTGGCTTCTCTGACAAAAATGCAGGAGCAAGCAAGTCCTCTCAAGTTTCGATTCCGGTCCTGAATGATCTGTATTTGTTTTGAACAGAGAAGCGTTTACCCGCTTTGATAAACGATGGTTTTTCCGGGCAAACGCCAAACCAGCAGGTGCCGCAGTGATGGAAAAGCACGGTGGGAAAGCAAACTGGTTTAGATATAAATGAATCTCCCCGACCTAAAAAAGCCTCTGCATGTTTCTCATAAGCTCCACGAGCAGAAACGTGCTCGAACTAGACTGACACAGAGCTGGCTAAACACTGAAGCTTCAGTGTCGGAGACATGGCAACTCACATGCACATCGACTCTGGGGATGAGGGGGCAGGGCGAGGGGGAGACAGCCCCCTCTAGTGTTTTGAATTTTGGCTGCAGTACCAACTTTAAACACTACATGTCAGAGTGACATATTGCTCCTTCTTAAAGAGCTCGGCTGTTTGGCCCTGCCTCAGTTTTTTTATACTGAGTGTAACTTATCACCTCTGGCCTCAGGTTCAATTCTTTATGAACACACATGAAAGCTATCTGATTGTGATACTTTTTTTTAAACACTTTTAAAAAGTGTTTAAACATCTCTTCAGGGTGTTAAATATGTTTAACTGTGTCTTTAATTATCTGCTGACCCTGCTTGTTTTAGTCTTGCTGCCTCTTGTGGGGTCTGAGCCACAGGTTGGGATCTGTTGCTCTGTAATAATAGGATGTGTGTATATTATGGAATAGGCCTTGATGGTATGGTTGTACGTGCTCTACTGTACTTGCTGATCTTTCAGACTTTGTACTCTGCTGCTGATGAGTCAGTTTCGAAGGCAAACCCTGCAAAACACACTTACATGAGATCTCTTAATGGGAAGTAAAAAAAAATAGCAACAGTGCCAAATGTTTAACCTGTTGTGACCTTTGACTCCAATGACACGACAAGTTACCAGCTCGATGAGAAGGCTCTTGATGAGGCTGTATAACCGACTGTCACGTACCACACTCCGCTGTCTCTGTACACTATCTGTCAGCGATGTGTGGGCTGAGATTACAGCAGCGTCTCAAGGCCAGCACGGTTGAGCACTCGGCTATAAGCTCCTTAAAACCAATATTGTTCTAAAGTCTACACAGGAGGATGGAAATTTCCCTGCGCTTGAGGAATACCCTGCTGTAAATCCAGTCGAGACCACACACTGAGCCGCTGCTGCTCCAACAACTGTTTCAGGTTTTCTGTGTGTGTGTGTGTGTGTGTGTGTGTGTGTGTGTGTGTGTGTGTGTGAGTCCCTCACATTCCTCGGCTTCACCTATAGTTAAACACCTTTTCTCCGGTTACTGCCTCAAAGTGACTCATCAGCTGTTTGCATTTCACAACCGAGGCTTTCGCACACGACGACTGCAGGGGCACCCTCGCATGCCTGAGAGGGGAACGACCTGTCTTGACGTCACGCCAAGATCAGAGTCCTGATGCGACACGCGAGGATATCCCGGTTGCTAGGCGCCCGGGGTTCCGTGTGCAGGTAAACACGGGGTTCCTGATTGTGGCACACCTGTGTTTGACACTGCCACGCTGTCACCTGTTGCTTCATCGTTGAGTAACCATGGTTATTTTCCATCGACAGTAACTACACTAAGGTATATGCCATAAAAATCTGTGACAACAGTGTTGGCATGGCAACCAAAAAACTCCCTGAGGGGACAGAACAGGTAAAGCTATTTCACTCTAACCTGTTGGCCTAGTTATTGCATGAGAAAGTTCATCTGTGAGTTCCAAATAAAAGCTCAAATTATGTAATTAATTAAACATGTTATTACTGCGTTTACCACAGCGTTATATTTACGTCTTTGAAGTCGCTCTGACGTATGTTTGCAACATGAACGAGCACCCTGTCCCTTTACTTGACATGTTATGATAACCCTGTGGTGAATCTACGATAAAAGAGTGTATGTTGATGGTAAATATTTGTGAACATAAGAGAGGATACTCATGTTTTGCTTCAACCAAAGCTTCTGTAAGCAATCGTGCGACTCCAGGTACATGTCAGGTCTCCTCTCGGGCTCCGCAGAGGACTGGTTTTGCCTCATGAATGCAACCTTCTCATCACGGGCCAAATATTCACGAGCTCTGCCAGAGAGAGAGAGTTCCACAGAGAGGGAGGGGGCACACGTCTACGACCTACAACTGAGGAGCAGTGGGGATTTTTTTACGACTTTGTTATAAATGATCATTGTAGTAAAAGTTGTAAAGATGTCTGAATGAATAGACTCTGTTATAAATGTGTGTTGTGCAGAAGAGGATCCAGAACCAGAGATCTACTCACACAAATCTGCTGAAGAGTGATTTGAATCCAGCCTGACAAGGTGTTACTACCTACTTCAATACATGACGGTAGAATAGTCCTCAGTCCCCAGACATTTTATGAATGACTTTTAACACGTTAGTATTCTACTAACCCTCCATTAGTGTGATGTGATTGCTATTACTGTTGTTTGGCCTCTCTAAGTAAACTGTATGAATCCTGATTTTTTTTTTAACAGAGATACAGTAAGAGACGGATTTTATTTTATTTTAACTTTGTTTAATCTCTTAAGGTGAGGTTTTTGAGCCCTCAGGCTTTCTACCTCCCTTGCACTCCCTTGACTCTTCTTTAAACGTGCAAATAAACCAAAACTAAAACTAAAGTTAGAGACGGCTCAGCTGGCAGGCCCCTCCTCAGAGATGGAAACACCCTGAAGCTGCTTTTATTCACCTAAAAAAAAGTCAAAAATTAAATAGATGCAAAATATAGGATGAGAAAAATCTTAACCCTAATACTTTGCCAGCTTTGATGCCTTTCTGTCACCTTATTGTAACCTATTATACTTGTCGAAAATAAGATCTACTTTCTCTCCTGATGTAGCAGTTTCTAGTGTCTTACAATAATGTGTATTATTGCTGTGCTTCCCTTTATAGAAGAGGGAGTGGGGGTGGGGGGGGGGTAAATCTCAGTATCGGTTATGCAAAACTTTGTGCAAGTGCTGGGAAGTTCAAACAGTTATTAAGTTGCTATTTGGTTGGTAACAGAAATTTAAAAAGTAAAAAAAAAAAACCTGTAGAAGGCTTGTTTATGAAGCTTCACATGAGCTGTTACTGAGATGTTTTTTGACACGATCTGTCTATGTTTTTAGGATTTCTATAAAGAAATTGCCGATTAAATTAAGGCTCTTTATTTCTTTCAAAAGAGTATCTTGGATTTGAACTCTTTAATGAAACTCAGGCACTCACTCGGGTATTAGTTTGAAAAATGAGAAAAGTTCAATAAAAACCTAAAGCCACAGAGATGAACTGATCATTCTTTATCTACATATCACTGTTTTTGTCAAATGCAGCGGATTTATCTGATTTATCTGATTTAATATTTCAATCACTGTCTCAAATATGGAAGAAAATGTATTTTAATGTCATGCAGAATAGAAATATCAAAGTTGTTTTCTCATAATTCTTCATGTGTTTCAATTAAACGTGTCTCAAAGGAAAGAAAAGACAGCTTTGGATTAAACAGCAAGTTGTTTCTTTTGAAAAACAGGCTGCTTATTCTGTGAATACTAAAGCATTTCATTAAACTGAGAAATCTTCTTTTCATAGACCGGATATAAATCTGCTAAATAAGAGCGTCAAAAACAGACGTTTGCAAGAATATTCCTGCCACATGAATTAGTGAATCAAGTCAATCCTGGGATGGTTTTTAAGGCCAGACGTGGCATCTTTAAGTTATGGCGGCATGCACTGACCCTTCAGCACCTGCTTTAAGTGACTCATGAATTAAGAATATCACAGTCCCCTTACAAGACTAACTTCAGGAATGACCTCATGCAGGACCACTGCAGTCTGGCTTGGCATGAACAATAGCCGGTCTGTGCTGCGTCCATCCGACATTTCTCTCGAGCATGTCTGCGAGCGCTGACCACAGCTTGAGTCACATCCTCCCCTCGCTCTCCTGCATGTTTACGGAGTGCTGGCGCTCTGTTGCCTATGATATCACGCGCCCTGGGTATTAAGAGGAGCACTGTTTGAAAAGACCTCCAGCACGGTGTGGAAAAGAACCATCCAGGGTTTGCTACAACCACAAACTTGATACTAGAACACCCCCCCCCCCAGTTTTCCCCTGTGTTCAGCATTCCTCACTGCTTTGTAGGACAGGTGACTCCAGATGACACGATGTCACTTTAGTGTGATGACTGCGGTGACATCACACACAAAATGACGCAGAGAGACGATGGAAAACTTTTCTCTAAATAGACATTTAATGATTTAAAACAGCGTGGTTACATAGAGGGGAAAGGGGAAACAGGTGTCGGGGGGTGGAAAAAACAGGGATTTATAACTGCTCTTTTTTGTTTTACTGAGTAACTTCAATGAGCGCACTTCATGTTTTTATGCAAAGCTGAATGTCCGAGGAGTCACACTGACGAATAGAAAGCACAACAGCCGAGCAGGCAGGCATCACTCTGGCATGTATCAATGGCATCAACACGGAGGTAATGGTACAAAAACAAGTGAGCTTTTTAAATTTACAACGGATAACACTGAGTCCAAGTCCATTGACATGTAACAAATATATACAGATAAATCAACAAAAGAGGAATTGTGGTAGAACAAAGCAGCTTCATCTACTACACTGACCGGAGCGTGTTTTAAACCTGTGTGGACGTGATTACAGTAACAAATGTAACATACTCTTTTTAAACTATTTGACCCGCTGTGATACGATTTTACTCTTGGGTTAGATGTAAACTTTACTCTTGCTGTATTGGCCTCGCTCACATTAGGAGCCACACAGTAGTATGACGTAATTAATTCTTTTTTTCAAACCTTTCCTAAGCGAAGGCTCCTTCTAATATTTGCATTGATCCGAAATGAATATACCTTAAACAAATAAAAAAAAATAAAAAAAATGATACCGACAGTTGATCTCATGACTGACACCTGCCATTTGATATCACATTAGCGGCTTGACTCCGCCCCCTCTGAGTTCCACCTGCCTGCTGCCTACTGGGTCCGGAGCTGGTAATCTGTGGAGGAAATGAACAAGACTTAATCAAATGGACAGTGAAAAAGAGGAGGAATTGAAGAGAAATCAAGCAGAGGCAGCTGATGCTTTCCACCCAGAATGAATGAAATATAAAGGAAATGAGATGAGGATGTTTAGCAATTAGTGGCAACATTAGCGAAAAGGCCGACATGTGCAACCTCGGTAATCTCGGTGCCACAAGACTGAGGACAGTCGAGAACATATCTAAAAAAAAAAAAAGAAAAGTTCACTTTCTCACATTTCGCAGGACGTTGCCACATTGCCTCATGTTCTACAGTGTATCCCCTTTTTCATAGAACTGCATAATTTCAAAGCTGGTTCCCACCACATTGCATTGTATTGCCCAACTGTTGCCTAATAACTGCACATATGGGCACTCTGTACAAGTATCACTGAACTCTTCGACCTACCTCCGTTCTGGGTGATGTAGCGCACCCACGGCAGGGCCTGATACCCACTCTTCTCGATGATCTTCAGGTAACGCACCTGCAGAGGGAAACAAAGGTGAATGACACAAAATGAACATGAACAAGTCAAGAGAACAAAAAAAATAAAACTTCTAACAAGACTGAATTCTGTGATATGAACAATGTTCAGTTTGCACACCACTGAAAGTCTTTCTTTTTTTTTTTTTTAAGATTTATTTTTGGGCTTTTTGTGGAGAGATAGGACAGTGGATAGAGTTGGAAATCAGGGAGAGAGAGAGAGTAGGGAATGACATGAGGGAAAGGAGCAACAGGTTGGATTCGAACATGGGCCGCCCGCTTGGAGGACTACAGCCTCCTGTGATTACAGCAGCTCGTCTCTCTCTCTCATGGCTTTTGAGTTTGTCTTAAAGTTTTCTTTCTTTTTTGAAATGCTACCTCAACTAAACTTTCAGCCAATCTAGAAAAAGGCAAGCGAGAGAGCTTTCACTCAACTTGGAAGTGCCCCTAATCATGCAGATTCATGCACCTCTTCATAGTGCTGTTGTTCTGGCCGTAGTATCTTCTGTTCAGTTCGAGCGTACCGTGCAATCAGTTTGATCATTTGACTGTCGCTTCTGAATGTTTGCAAACCAGCAGGCTGTAAAGCTGCCTCTCAGGTGCTACCTTTAAAGCCTTACAGGTGCTAAGTATTTCAGAGGCCAGAGATATGTTTTCAGTGAAGTACTCTGCCAGCTGCAAGTAGTAGTGAGAGTGGTGCTGCTGATGAGGAAGCAGTAGTACGAGTCACTCTGAGAAGAGGGAAGCAGATACAGAACAGCTTTCACTAAGTTCATCTACATAACTGTAACCTATTGTTTTACTTAAGGACATGTGTGGGGGAAAAAAAATGCAGAATTAGCATTATCGGGATACAACTTTCACAAGCTATTGTGCAATATTTCACCACAACAGTGTTAGCACACCGCTCAATTACGAGAAGGCAATCCAAAAATAACCTGCCAGCCTGACCCATCACTGAACACGATTGCACAGCGATTTCAGCCGTCAAGTGGAGAGAGAGAAAAAAAACAAGGTGTTTGAATCGTATTGACTTATTTATTTGAACAATGATCTTCATCCCAATGACAGGGAGGACGCTCTTCTTTGTGTCGTCTCACTTTATCTTGTGGTAATAATTACAGACATCTCCTCCACGCTCCGTGTTTTTGCAGAAAAAAAAACTTTCACACAAAACTTTCTGGAAGTAAAAGAAAAAGAACTGCTCTCTCACGATTAGCAGCGATGGCAGCGCGGTACATTTTAAGGGCTGACACGACCCCTTCTCTGGGAAATGTCGCCGGTTCTCAGCTGAAAGCAGGACAGACAGGGCAGGAATTTGTGGGGACGGAGAGATGGCGGCCCTCTGGTGAGGCCTCGGTAGTGGCCGCCTTGTTATTACCTTCTACTACACGGTGAGGTCAGAGAGAGCGAGAGAGAGAGAGAGAGAGCGAGCGCCGTGGCCACCAGACACATGACGACAAACACACAGACACGGGATCAGCGAGTTTGCCTGCGCAGCACTTCTCTCCCCGAAGCCAGCAGCCAAACATGCAGCCGGCCTGACCGTGGGTACGTCGTCAGCAAAACGCCACCAGAAGCCAGCCTCCGCAAAATATCATTATGGCTTGTAAGATGAGAAGGGGTAGGGAGGATGTTTGTTGTATGGCGTTTTGGTAAGTACAGACTACATGTGTGGTCTGGATTTATCAGGCTTTCGGTCCAAGCCGGGGCCCCATAAGCATCTGCCAGCTTGTTTGGGATCCTTCGACATCACCTAAAGACGGGAGATGTGAAAATATAACTACACCTCTGCTCTCAAAGTGCGGGGTTCCTTCATTTCTAGTCAAATTTACAAGGTGCAGTGACGTGCATTATACACACTCGACATGTGCCACCCCCTGCACTTAGTGGTGGAGTTAAGAGGAACTTTCTCATGCTTTGATATTTACATGTGTCTAATTAAACTCCACTCGGCCTCTTCTCACACGTACAGAGCACTGCATTAGAGCCTGAGAGCCAGCCTGCTGCTGCTGCCCTGTAATAAGGAAAAAGGTTACAGGCTCGATGGGAATATTGCTCTTATTAAAGTCGACTCTGAGACGGTGGGTGCACCGCAGTGTGACTGCAAACACGGAGCAGAGAGTTTAGGCTGTTAGATGGAGAGAAGGTAGAGCGGACACCTTAGAGCGCTCTGTTTACAAAAAGGGACCAAAACATCGATTTGGCAATATCAGAGTTGTGACTCACTAGTGTGATACAATTATTGAATTGCTGGTGGCAAATGTTGAAATTTCAAATTAGAAAAAATACAGCGATTTTTTTTTGCCAATACTTCTCACCGCTTCACCACTTCATGCGACATGAACGAGGGAAACGTGAACAAAAGCTAATTGGCCAAAGAAGAAGTTGACAGAGGGATAAAAGAAGATGAAGGTGAAGCGGGATAATGTTGGACAGCGGTAAAAGGATGTATGATTATATTATTGTCTTGATACCAGTTTGTGCAGAATCCCTGAATTGAGATATCATCTGGATCATGAGCCACTCCTTTCAGGAGTCACCCTGTGATTTCCACCTCTATTGTGTTTAGTAACAGCTAAATTAATCCGTTATATATTCTAGGTCTATAACTTCAGATCCTAAATGTAAATGAAGAAACATCGTATGAAGAATCACTCTCAACCTCTATAGGTAACAGAGCAGAACGGGGTTTTTTTTCTCTTAACGTTGAGGCTGAAAACAATAGTTGAGTCACAAATATAAACGCTGAGACATCAATTTTAAAGTAGTGCACATTTTAGATGTCAAATATAAAATTCCCCAAGGAGGTGTGTGGTTTTCAGATTCAGAGCTGATCAGGTGGCTTCTTTCTCGACAGTTAATCGAAATACAGTAAACGGTAAAAAATAAACATTTCTTACATTTGGGCTCTTTCGCAGGTTTCTGCATATTTTTCAATGAGGTCATCCTTTTCGACAGTCTCCACATATATGAAACAGTATTTATACACAGATAGTGTTGAGGACTTTGTGCTAAGATTTCTCAGACTAAACTCATCAGGTATTTTGTCCATGCAAAAGGGTGCAAAGTGTACTAAATGACTGTATGTGTTTTTATATTTTTATTGGTGTTCTTATGAAGAAAAGATGTGCTAAAACACAGATTGAGTGGATCACTGTTCCAAAAGTGTTTTTGTTATTATTGACAAAATCTCTTTTTGATATGAAAATGCAAAAGAAGAGTTGAGTAATCAGTGTTTTCAGTAATACATGTTGTAAGTGTGAAGAGGAACTACAGAAGGAAAAAAAATCCATTAGTCACTTTCAGTGTCTTTGACCTGAAACACCTCTGACTCTCATTTTTCGGGTATGAAATTTAATCTAAATCCATTTCTGTCTATAAAATAATACATAACAGAGGAAAAGGCCTTTCCTCTGGGATATGCAAAGTGACTCCACACCTGCCTTTGTCGCTGCGACTCCATGCACATGCTTTTATCGGAGCATCTGTTCATTTATGGATTAGCAAAGATTTGAAAGGAAGGGAGGGAACAGATTATTTCTCTCAGCTGTCAAATGACCTTTAAAAATGACAAGTGTACTTTTACTGCCAAAAAACACCCCAATTAAAAGTACGATATATTTCAATTAACGTTCAATTAACATCAGTGTGAGCTGCTTGTTTCCGAGTGGGCTGTGTCATTTCCATAAAAACTTAATGACCTTTTATTGAGCTTCATAGGAACTGTGGAGAAGCTGGAAAAAAACGACCAAAGAGTTATTTTACGGACAGCTACACAGAAAACAGAGATTTCAATCAAGTGTGAGTACAAGAGAGGGCCCTGAAGTGAAAAGAATAAAGTTGATCATAGAGGATAAGTTGTGATCCAGTACCTACAAAACATGATATTGCTGTCTACTTCACAAAAGTATAGATGCACCGATCCACTTTTGTCAGTTCAGATCCGATTCCAAAACTTGTGCACCGATACCGATACCAATATGTTTATTATCATAACTAGTAGTGGTACTGTTGTTCTTGGCATTATGTGTAAGGCTGCACAAAGCTGTCATAAACCTGGCATTACATTGCATTGTGCTGGCTTCACATACAAACAGGAAGCAGCAAAAACGGTCAGGTTTTTAAAATTAAATCTTTTAAACTGAAGTGTAAGAATTGGATTTTTAATATATAGAAGGAGCTGTTCCATCTCGTCTGAACGTCGTCATGGAGACGATTTGTGGACACTGCAATGCCTACATAACATTTTGTCGATTAGTGGAATAATTATGACGTTTATGCATTAATCTTTTTCTGTGATCATTGAGCTGCCTTCATTTTGAGTTGCTTTATTCAAAGAAGTGTTTCTCTTGTAATTTGAGGCGTTGATAAAAAAAATATTCCAACTTCCTGTAAAAAGTAAATTTTTAAGAAAGCACCAGTAAATGTTTAACTTCTGGTTCCAACATGACGCGAGAATTATTTCAATTTCAGAGTTTTAAACAAATAATGTGGAGTAAGATCTGGTGAATGTAACGCTGGGTTGTAATTGTACCGGCTGAAAACAAACTGTATTTCTTCAACACAATAATAAGATATGGGTCAATGACATATTTTCAAACCATGATTGTCAGGTTGCCATCGTTCCTTCACTGCAGGACACGGGGAAGCTTCATTTTGTGTTGCTGTGGTGCTTCACACATAATCACAGGACAACTGTGATTACACAGGAGGTGCAGCACATCTGTGTAAATCTGCGGTCAGCCCGAGTTTTCATTCAAACATGAAAGAAAACATTAACTTCTCTTTAAGCATCATGGGAATTACAATCAAGATCCAATAAATCTTCTGACATGTAACCAAGAGAGACATTTTCTATCACTGTGATTAACACAAAAAAGGCAGAGGGGTCATGACTCAGGCTGCTTTGTTTAACACTGTACCACATGAGGAGTGTCACAGTGCAACATTGCTCTCATACTGCCCCCTCTGGCCAAAAACGAGGCAGGCATGAATTGTTTGAATTCCTGCTCTTGAGAGAGTTTGTGTGAGACACTGCTGCGTGCCATAAATCCTAATTCAAGGATGACAGGGAAACAACAGAGAACCACAAGACATTTAGACTATGCATGCATGCATGCGCACTGGACTGAAAACACACAGAAAAACTGAACTGCTGCACTTGTTTGTATCGTCTCCCAGGTGGTTTACCAAACAGGAATGATCCTCTCGGTTAGACCAACAGTTTCCTGTGATTAAATCGTATACTTGTTCGTTTTGTCACTCCATGGGGAAGTCATTTCAGCTCATTTGACCTCGGCCTACTGCACGTGCTGAGACATGCAGGTTAAACGTTAACGTTGACAGAGATCATGTGATTGTGTGTGTGTGTGTGTGTGTGTGTGTGTGTGTGTGTGTGTGTGTGTGTTGAGACGTACCTGAATGCCAGAGGTGGTGAAATACGGAATCTCAAACTTGACACTGATTGGTGGCTTCCCCTCCTTGTCTTCGGCCTCGACACTCGGCAGACCGAAGTGGGCTCGCATCAAATACTCTTTTCCACCCTTTGAGAAGTCAAACACACACTATAAACCTCAAGTTTCAAACCAAGGCGAGTCAGGATTTTATGAAACTTAACCTATGCACACATGTAGAAACTGACTGTATCAGGTAAAATCACAAACAAACTGTATCCACAAACCACCATTACTACTTATAAACAGTATTTTTTAAATACTAATGAGTCATGATTTCTGCTCACAGGGAAGGACTTGATGGACCAGACAATCTCGCTGTTCTCAGGCACCCACTTCACGCTGCCCACTGTGGTCTTGAATTTGGGTGAGTCAGCGTCCGTTGGCACAGGAATGTGGATCTCCACGTTGTTGGCTGTGGAACGCCTTTTGAACTGGCTCTTTGCCTGAGACAAGGAACAAGCAGGTCAAGTTAAACAAGGCGTCCCGTCTTAGCAGAGCATTAACCCCTGGGCTTATTGGTAGCTGTGTGAAAACATGAGACAAAGAGCCACGGCGTCTTAGAAAACCATTACAGTATGCTGTACTCTGCTGTGATGCTTCACACGCTTGGAGCCAGTCTGGACAACAAAACCCGCTTACCCTTTTTTTTAAATTATCAGACATCACTATGGAAGCAATTGTCCACAACAATGTTACAATGAAAGACACAAGAACTGTTTTAAGAAGTGAAAAAGAGACAGACCTTGATCATGTACTCGATCCGACTGTGGGAGTGCTTCTCAATAACAGATTCAATCCAGATCAGGGGCTTCACCTGAGACAAAAAACAACACACATTATTTATCTACAGTCCATCTAATCTTTAATAAAGTCAATAACATAAAACATGTTTGTCAGTATACACAAAACATGACACAGTCACCATCTAGTGGATGACCGATGTTACTACAAGAAAAACCAACAAACTGATTCGAGGAATTTGGGTTTAACACATTTTTCCATCTTCATTAACAAACACGATGGGATCAAAAAAAAAAAAAAAAAAAAGGAACACTATGCAATGTAATGCACTATATTACACCACCACTACCACCAGCACCACATACAGGGACTTCAATAATTAATATAAAGTAGAATTATCACCTCTCTAACTATGCCAAGAAAAACTGAAAAGAAGAAGTTTGTAAAGTAGAATTTATGGTCGGACTACAGTTTTGGATGAAGAAGATTGTATAGGGGTTCATAGTGTTGTTGCCGATGGGTGTAATGAGTCAACGTAGCATTAAACAGTAAATAGTCTACACTCATGTTTGCATTGTGTTGAAACTGTTTGAGTCGCATGATGAGGAAGAGATATTGAGAAAGACAGTATGACTGTATGAAACTTACAGATACTTAGGGATAGAGAAGCGCCTTAACACTTTTTGAGGCCAATAATGCGAAAAATATACCCTGATAACTATACACCAACCTTACATGCTGCTGCATCATCAACAGCCAACGATGATGCACTTATTGTTGTTTCATAATAAACGACAACCTGTAATTTCTAAAAACCTGTTTATATTTAAAAATATGTGATTAGATGCATACTGAGCAGGACGTTCACCCCTTAGTTACCCCAAAGGTGAAACAGCATCTCTGAGCCGGCAGGACAGAACAGCTCTGAGTGAGTGTTCATGTCTGAATGTGTGTATTGAAGTCTGCGCTGTTTAAATAGCGTCGTCATACAATGGTACACCAATATTTTACTGAGTGACGACAGAGCTTTGTTACCATGCTGTGGTGGGATCTCAATGTAAAAAGAGCTACTGTCTTAAATGACCTCAGTTAGGCATTCTTGAAACTACCTTACTGCGCTTATATCGTCTGTGTACTGCTTGGCGTTGCAGGTTCTAATAGAGAGTCGACTCTCATACCTTGTTTAAAAGAGCACCATCTATGCTGAGAGGTGTGTCTGACGCACTGTACTCACATGAGTGTTGAGGCGGTAGGACATGAGCTCAAACTCTCCATCAGGGGGAATGAAAGAAATGGTGCGATCGTTCTCAAAGCGAGACAGACGGACACACTGGTGGAACTTGACATCTTCCAACTCGACTGATTTACTCTTACCCCCTGCGTGAAAAAAAAACAACAACACACACATGGATGCAAATTAAATAAAGAAAGAAAAAAAGATTATAGTTGCATTAACTGTCAAGTGATAAAAATCCAAAGCTCTCCCTGCACTCATAAACATTTTTTTAGGGCTTTTTAAGTCAGGTTAAAGAAACAGATAGATACATATGAAAACAGGATGTGCAACGAGTGTCTGACTCCAGCATACTTAGAAAGGTTAACGCTCCTGTGAGGAGTGTTCAGCTGGTTAGGAAACCAACTATGTGACCTATGTGATCATTTCTACGGAGTAATTGTTTCTATTTTTACCGCTTGTAACCACTGCTGCCGAGAAGGTGTCAGTAGAAGTGAGTTACTGCACGCTGCAGAAACAGACTCTGTTTACATCTTCCACAGCAAACATTCAAAGTAAGTGATTTTGTTTGACTGTTTATTTAAAGCAGGGTGAGCCCTTTGTCAGAAAACACTCCTTAAACGTGGACAGGTCACGATCAGCAAATGGGTAAGATGTACTGCTTTGTCCAAAGAGCTACCAAAATCAATGCAAAGTTCCTCACAGGAGATTTAATAAAATGTTGACTCACTAAAGCTCAGTGTCAAACTCAAATATAAATATGTATTATTTAAGATTTAGTTTTAGGCATTTTTTTCTGCCTTTATTTTAGAGATAGGACAGTGGAGGGTTGAGAGAGAGTTGGGAACTACAGGAGCGACAGGTCGGATTCGAACTTGTGCCGTCCACTCTCAATGACTACAGCCTCTGTACATGGTGCGTGCACACTAACCACCAGGCTGTAAATATATTACATGAGGGAACTCACGTCCAGTGTTTTCAAACAGAACCTTGTCGTTCAGTCCCAACCGCAGCTCCGGCATTCCAGACAGGAAGACGCGCATCTTAATGGAGCCCACGATCTCACTACGCAGAACATTACCATTGGCACTAACCTGAAAGACAGAGGGATTAAAAAAAAACAGCAAAAGCACCGGGCTTATTTAGTGACGCACACAGGGAGTAAGTTTACGGACACTGACAGTCACTCCTTGAGCAACACAGCACTTCTAAAACAAGGAGTTCCTACCAGGAGGTTGACTGACTCAATGACGTCCAGGAAGACCTCGTTCTTCCTGTACTTGATGCCCTCTGACCTCCAGGAGACAGCGTTGGTGACTGTGGCAGGGGGTCTCGGGGCGCCAGTGTCAAGCTTGTGCCCCTCCTGGGTTATGTATCTGTGAGACACAAACACGTAGAGAATGAGGGAAAAACAGAGACAAAAAGGGAAACCAGCCGTCTGCAGTGGTGAATTCCCAGAGAGCATCAAAGGGGAAGAGAGAGAGACTTGTGGTTACTAGAGGGAGGATAGTCTGAGTTGTTGCTGAAGTTTGGGGGAAATCCAGAGTTAGCTTGCTACGTGTGTGCATCAACCGCAGTACTGTACGTTTAAACGGTCATTCACAAATCTGTGTCAACCACAGTGCTCAGAGTTCAAACGTTCATCCGGTACGGTAACACCTTTTTCACTTGCAGATTTACAGGAATGACAAAGCAATTTGTAAAAACGGATTTAACGGCGCAACAATTATTTTATTACAGCAATTCACTCCTTCTCAGGACAAGAACCCACATCCGTTCTTGAAATTTCATTTTGAGGCTTTTTATGTAGAGACAGGATAGAGAATGAAATCAGAGAGAGAGAGAGAGAGAGAGAGCGAGAGAGAGAGAGAGAGAGGGGAATGACATGCGGTAAAGGAGCCACAGGTCAGATTCAATCCTGGCGCCCCACATACATACTTTTTCATTGTCTTATCCTGTGTTTCCCTTTATATTTGAGAAAGTCTTCAGTTTTATACACTCTATATTTCTTGGTGTTTTTGTATTTAAATGTATTTAAATTTTGTTGCTCTATTATTTTTGATGTCTCTTGTAATTTATTTTAAAGTGCTATGTAATTAAAGATACTTATTTCCATATTGATTTGCTCTTATACTTTATGTTTTGTAAAAAAAACAAAAAACATTCAAACGTGCCTGTACTCTTCTGTTGATGTTCCAAATGACAATAAACATCTGTTCTAATTAAATGTTATCTTTACACTAATATTGGGGATAATTAAATTGCACTATTTTAGTTGGCTGAGGAAACCAGAGATATAAACACTAAGTGATAAGAATATAACTCTTGAGAAGTATCAGGTAGAAATCAAAAACGTATGTTAAATAAAGACAGGCCTTTGATAATGAAGATCTGTAGCACAGACAATAGTGCAGAGTGCTTTTTTAAGTGTTGCACATATTCAAGTCGAATGAAAGGACAGGAATAATACAGAAATGTGCAGGTGAACACAGAAAAAAAATCATATTTGAACATTTCCACCTGATACACTGTCAGAAATGAAATAGGCTAACATATCGTTTTGGGACTCATAAGAAAAATAAATCAAATCAAAATGCATAAACCTCTGGGCGCTGATGGCGGTTAGGTCACGCCCCATGTCCCGCCTGTACCTCCTTTTGCACGTCATTCCCTACTGTACTTCCCGATTTCCAAATCTATCCACGGTCCTCAGAAACAATAACTTAGTAATGGGCTTCTCGGGTAAGAGTCTGAAAGTAAATTATTGTCCTGTGTGATGTTGCGCAAATTAAACAATGCTTCTGAACAAAAGTATTTATTTCACCAATGAATATTAAGAATAGATTTAATGGTCAGATTCAGTGACTTGATTCAGACTTGTGTTGTACAAATGTGTAAAGCCAGTGTAAAGTATTTCACTCAGTGAGGTGATGTAGTAGTTAGGCCCAAGTTGTCAATGAGTGTTATGAGTTCTACAAGCCACCAGGTGTCAGTGTGTTTCCTGAGTTTGAGCCCCAAGAGGCAACATCTTTTCCTGGCACATACAGAGAGAGAGAGCTAAAGAAGCTTTCATCCAGCAGTTAATACTGTTAAGAAGATCTTCTCAATCTTCTCTATACCCTATGATTGTTTTAAGAATAACATGGAGGGATCTTTGATTGCTGTCAATTTGGAAACCGGAAAATACTGATTATTGGTCTCTTTTTCTTTTTTTTACATTAACTTAGGGTAAAATGAAAAAACAGGCTTTTAATAGAAGGATACTTACTCTTGCAGAATTTTGCTGTCTGTGGTCTGAGGATAGCCAAAGTCCATCAGTTCATCCATCAGTTCATATATGATGACAAAGTTATCTCTGATGCTCTCCTCCTCCAATTCTTTGAAATACTCTGAAAACACCTGAACAAGACAAAACACTGTTTTATAATCCAGTGTGGATAAAACTGTACATACAAAGTACATGGCTTTGGTACTGTTTTTCATTATCTTAAATCATTAGCAGTAAAGCAGGTGAGAGGAAGAAAATCTTACCTGGACAATTTTGTACAAGAAGGAGAAGACCAGAGAGACACTAGCATTTTTCTTGGACGTTGCGACCACTGACAAAAAGTAAGTTAAGAATTGTAGCAACTTCCACTTTAAGTTAAAAAAAAATCAAAACATGAATCTAAAATACAACATCAAGAGTTGACATGTTGTTGGGTACTGATATAATAAAGGGAGAAATGAGGATACAGTAGAGGTTATTGTGTTTGATCCACATGAAACGGACTCCTCCGTGGGCCAAGATTGGAGAGAGCGTCCCCTCCTCCTCTTTGTCCATCAGAAGAGTCATGAAGTGCTCAATCTCCGACATGTCCACATCTCCCCGATAGTTTCGACACACGAGGACCTGAAAGAACACGTCGTTTGTGCAGATACAATACCGTTACTACAAGACAAGACGGATGTAGTATTTCTAAGAAATGTGTATTTAAACGGTAACGAGTCATGACAAAGTACCATGAATGTTGGCGAGGGTTTAAAGTTTCTAACACAGCCTCAATAAATCCATGTGGTCATACTTTAAAAACGCTTTTGTTCCCACGTCGAGAACATTTCTGAAGAATGTTTGGTAAGGCTGTGTGGGTTGTGCTAAACTGTGGAAACATCACTAAAAGACTTTGTAGATGCAAATCCACGTTTCAATTTGGGTGTCAACTTCTTCATAATGCGTCACTTTGACTATTTTACTCAGACAAAACATAGACACGGGCTTTTACGCCAACAGCTAAAGTTGCCCATTCTTGAACTAGGGCTGGGCAATTAATCGAAACCGACATACAGAACCTCTAACCGACATAATCTTGCCGGTGTCGATTATTTTCAGGGCAGAGTCACATGACCACACGTCCGTTCCGCGACATGGAAGCAATGTCCGTAGTTTGGACACATTTTATCTTTAGGGAAGACGAGACACCGCACAACAAAAAGAAGTCAAATGTAACCACTGCGGAAAAACTGTTAGCAAGAAATGCAACTTATTTATGTCCGACTGTTTTAGAGAAGTTCATTTCTACTTTAAAACTGAAATGTGTCGTTTTTATTTAAGTGATGCTTTGATTTCTCTGACTAGACTCTTCTCCTCTGTCGCCCCCCGGTGGTGGAACAAACTTCCAAACTCCCTTCGATCTGCAGAGTCCCTCTGCACCTTTAAGAAAAAGCTAAAGACCCAGCTCTTTAATGAATACCTACTAACTTAATGATGGTCTCCATATCATTGATGATGATGATGGTTGTGACGATGGTTTTTGTTTGATAACGATGACTTATAAGATGGTTTCTATACAGATTAGAGCTCTCAAGAAGAACTGCTCTCAATGTTGTGCTTTGCCTCTGGTCACTTCCTGTCAGCACCTGTGTGTCCAATCAGACTCAAAGCTGATCGTTTGCTCTTACTGACATAGTTCCCTTTTTTCTAGATCCTTGCTTGTGTTGTACTTACTCTCTGATGTACGTCGCTTTGGATAAAAGCGTCTGCTAAGTGAATTGTAGACTTCAGTTCCAAATATTCAATAAATAACCACAAAACAGTCAATCACATATGCACTCTTTCATTAGAAAAAAAAACATCCCAGCTTTAATAGTTGAGCATATTTACAGTAAAGACCATGTCAGTGAACTATGAGGGCAAAAAAACAAAAACTAAATAATCGTAATCGAGGTCAAATGTTCAATTAATCGTGATGTTGATTTGAGGTCCTATCGTCCAGCCCTATCTACAACTAAAGGCATTTATTACTTTCACGCCACCACTGCTTTAAAAAAAAGTCATGTTTGGTAAGTAATAACATTTCTTGCACGATAAGAAAAGAGTCTTTAAAGTGATGTTTTGGATCCTGGGCTGCAAACAGCTGTTCACCTGTCTGCGGTTAATGTTACGTGGCCTTTTTCATTTTTCACTTTAACGCATCATATGACATCAGCTACACTGTTTAGGTGAAACGCATGGGGCTGTATTTACGAGCTAAACCCTTCACAACGCATCTCAAACAGTTTGGTAATGTCATCAGACTGAGACACATCATAGTAATCTGACAGCTAAAGAATGTGTCAGCTCGGCTAGCGTTAGCTTAGCACAGCAGCATCAGCTCTTACCTTTCCTTTCAAATCCAAGACATACACCGCACTCGCAGACATCTCGAAGTAATTTATTCGAGCTTAGTTCAGCTCGTTATCAGCACCGTGTTGATTTTTTTATCTGATAATAACTAGTTAAGGGCTAACATTAAAGAACCAGACATTCATTCATAATACTGAGAAGAGGAAATCCACTCTTCCCCTTTTTTTTTTTGTCACACCATCCACAGAGCTGAGGAGCGCCCCCTGTGGGCCAGGAGGATCAGGATCAGAATCAGAATCGTGGTTTATTGCCAAGTACATTTACACATACAAGGAATTTGACTTGGTGTATTGGTGCTAAACAATTAACAGGGAAATAAAGCAGAACTAGCAACAACTTAAATAATACAGGAGGATGAATTATGTTTATTTCTCAAAGGAATGATGGGATGTGTAAAGTGGAGAGTCTGGTGGGGGCCCTGGGCAAAAATTAACAGGGTGCCCCTCCAACCAGCGTTCATCTTTATGATGTTATAAGTAATTATATAATTCCTCTTCCTCTGGACTTTCATTGACAAACATTTGAACAGTATTAATGCATGTGATGCTTGGTAGGGCAACAATATGTTGTCAGATGGGACGCCCTCAGGAAGGATTCTTTCTGATGTTGCAAACTTTTCACATTTTTTGCCACTGCTGTGGATTAAAGTTTGTCAGACCTCGGGGGGGGCCCTAATGGCCTGGGGCCCTAAGCAGTTGCCTGCCTTGCCTGTTGACAAACAGCGCCTCTGGATGTGGTAAGTGGCAAATCCTGTTGAATAAAATCAAATAAATAAAAATATACAGGATGAATTACTTTCCGAGCACCTCTGTGACACTGTGATGTGGGCACTGATGCTTTTTACACAACTGAAGTTATTTAAGTAAATTAGTTATTTGAATTCGGTTTAGTTTAAATTAGGTTTTAATTTTGTAAATAAAAGCCTGCTTTTATTTTTTTTTATTGTTCTCTCTGTATCATAAATGGTTCAGAGAAAGATAACAAGCAACTTAATAAAAAAAAATTACACTTTAAAGTATTGTACAAGTAAGTAAGGGTTAAAAGTTTGAACTTCTTCAGTAAGAAAGCTCATCCAAAATTGAAACTAACGTGCCTGAGACAAATCCTAAGGATAGGCCTCGTGTCACTCAGTGTGCTCGTGTGTCAAAGACAAAAAAAACTCTATTATTTTATTTCATTTCAGTCAGTTTTGTAAACACACAATACAGTTAGTTAACGTTTTTTGGTAAAGCCTTGTTTTTATTAAAGTTTCAGTTCATGAAAATGTTTTTTTTTACATTTTTTTATTTTTGTATTTCTTGTATAATCTTGGTAGGTGGATAATTTAATTGAAAAAAGGCAAAGAACCAGGCAAAAATATATCCAGTTTTTGAAGCACTTTTGTGACAAGACTATCTTAATTTTCTAATCTCAGTTTGCTGAATGATACAAAATATAATCAGGTATTTACTCGGGTGTGTACTTAGACAAGGTGCCTTACAATACTTTTGCCAAAGGGATGTTATGTGTCTGTTTCCCCCATTAAAACAGAAATAAATGAATGCATTTAAAATGACCTTAAATTTTGCGTCCACATAATTAAGAGCCAACTAGTGTAAACTGTCTTTATTAACTATCTGCCTTGTGCAGTGAGTCTCTTACAATCCAACACTCATTATGTCTTTCCATTGTAATTGTGCAAAAATGTGTGACTAATTTGAACTCATTCAAACTCATTCCCTTCATTCAGCTGCACTTAATTAGTGCAACTCTTTATTGTCTTAAGTTCTGATGGGGCCTCCATCCTAACCTAATACTGAAACATAACTAAACTTCCTCATCTCACTGAGAATAACATCTGTGGTGTTAAACAGCAGCCAAGCAACAAGAAATGACTTCATCAGAGGTGAAAAGACCCCTGAAACACGAGACGCAGCCTCATGCAGCTATATTCTGCTTATTAATGTGTCAGTGTAGGAGAGTACACAAAGCTACTCGAGCAATTATTGAGGTAGCACAGGCTTAACAGTGAAATAACACGGGTTTAAAAGCTTGCTCTATAACACAAACTCAAACAGCTGCTACTTTTCACAGCTGTGTGTGTGCACAGATCGGGATGTGAAGTGATGGCGGGGAGTGAAGAAGTTACAACAGAGCATTTGAGGGGAGGAAGTTTTGGAGAACCCCAGTTTTTAAATTCTGCTTGATAAATTACAACAAAAGTGGTTAAAGCAGAGACATGAAAAATAAATGTGTTTCAAGAGTGAAAACTAACGAGCATCTTTTTTCTCCCCCTTCTCAGATCAGCGTCTCCATTTGGAAAGCCTTTCAGCACCAGGCTTGTGCAAGACAACTGTGCCTCATCAAAGTGACACATCTCAGCTCCCCTTGGCCTGTAAGATGGAGTCTAGACATTGTCAGAAGTCATAGATACAAGTGGACTGAGCGACAGAGCCAAATATAACAGATTGCCACGTCCCTCAGATACTTCCATACGCTGTATGCTGTACAGTGTGTGTGTTTGTTTTTGTGACTGTGGTCTGTGTGAATGTGGGGAAGCAGTGGATGTGGTTGCGTAGTTAATAAACATGTTTGTGCAGAAGCCTCAGAGCTGAACAGGCCTGGTGACGTGTGTAGCTGTGTTACAGAATGGGCTTGTTAGTATAGACTATGACTCAGTGAATCACACAGGTGTTACGCACTCTTAAAGTGCAGGTGTTGCCACGGCCAACTTTTGTAATATGAGACTTTCAATTGTATCTCTTTGGACTGATTTATGTGATAAATAAATCCAATAATTGCTTGTCCAATTCTTCCAGCTAATTGCAAAGTGGAAGCCCTGAAGAGCAAACTGTAGCATCAGTGCCCACATGTAGTTTGCATGACATCAGTCACTAAAGGCTACTAAAACGGTTCTACTCTCTCCTCTCAGAGCATTCATACACACTCAAATCTGTTCCACCATTCCCATGGCTTTGTGATTTATACTTAGCAGGACTTTGACTCTACTCCCAAGACGATCCTGTGGCTTTTTGGGGGAGTTTTTTACCATACAAGGAGAAGAGGAGTTCAGCTGGGTTTCCTGTGGGAGGTTTCTGATTTCTCTCACTCCGCATCTGATTCACTCTGCCTCTCTCTCTCTCTCCCTCACCTCCTCCTCCTCCTTTCCCCCCCCTCTCCTCTTCTGGTTCCTCGCCAGGCTTCTTTGCTTCTAACCATACAGCCCAAACATGTCAAAGAATTCTGATATTAGAAGAAAACATCACCAAAACATTTCCAAAATCAATATTTGTAACGTTAAATTGTCCCAGTTGTATCCGAGCTATGTGTTATCATAACATTGCACACAAGGAGCGTCCTGACAGACCAAATAAGGCGCACAGCCCCAACCCTTTATCATTACAGGACGTGATGTAAGCTTGTTCAAGCTATCAAACTGCCACCACTTTCATAAACTCAGGCCAAAAAAGGGCTGCAGCTTCCCTCCCCTTCTAAACAGAGTTGTGTTCGTCCACTAACAGAACTATTGGTCTCTCTTAAAGAAAATAGATTTCCTCAGACTGCTGCAAAGCTAACGTAAAGTTTTACACACATTTAGTCACAATTTCTCTCGTGCTGCACACACACTTTTATACACTTTTTACAATACACATTAAAAGTCAACCCAATTGTTCCCAAAGGTCAATTTAAACCATAAAAAACAAACTACTGCGCTCATGAATGTTAATGCTTTAACTGTTGTTGATGATGTGGTGATGTGGTATGAGGCAGAATTAGATTGAATCACTAAATGATCAGCCAATCTGAGTTTTGAAAACATCCTCTGGACTGCAATAAGAGAATTCTTACTGTTCAAATCTCTTGCTCCTCACTTGTATTTATGCAATACCTGGTGTGTGTGTGTGTGTGTGTGTGTGTGTGTGTGTGTGTGTGTGTGTGTGTGTGTGTGTGTGTGTGTGTGTGTGTGTGTGTGTGTGTGTGTGTGTGTGTGTGTGTGTGTGTGTGTGCAGTAGTAGGAGTGTGCTAAATTATTATGTTGTTTTCATCTATTTTTCAACATCTGTGCTGGTAAAGACAACCATTAATTGTTCTATTTTTTGCATTCATTCTTTTCCAAGTGAAATCTTGGTTTAAGTAAAATGCCCCCAAAAAATATATATCTATAAATGTAACCTTACTACACCCTGAAAAAGACACAGGCTGATACACGTTGGTGTATTTTAAATGTTTCTAGACATATGAATTATATTTTTCAAACCATCCTGAGTGCCTGGATAATTTATAATCAATGTTTTTGTTCTTAAGCTTTCCTCCACTTTTTCTTAAAATAATACCTTCAAAGAGCACCACTGGTTTGAGGGATTCCAGAAGCACTCCTGTTGTCTCTCTTCTTCACCTTCTATTAGTGTTGAACATACACACGTTTGATGTGGTATGAGGCAGAATTAGATTGAATCACTAAATGATCAGCCAATCTGAGTTTTGAAAACATCCTCTGGACTGTAATAAGAGAATTCTTACAACACATAAAGAGGAAATCCTGCCTGCATATTATGCTTTTTTGTAAAGCGTCTCGAGATAACTTTTGTAATGAATTGGCGCTGTACAAATAATGATTGATTGATTGATTGATTGATTGACATAAAGGGACATTTAGTGCTTTTGTTATAACTGGAAGAACTCTCTACATTTGTACAATATGCTCCGTAAGTCAAAGTGAAGAAAACAGAATATCAGGTGTTGTTTCTAATTTCCCCTCCTGTGAAGAGTTCTCTTTGCCAGAACACAATCGTTCTATAAGAAATCACATCAAACTATGGGATGGACACGGCAACAAGTGTCAGTGCAGCATGAAAAAACAAGAGATACTGTACATGAGTCCAAGTTTATTCTCAGATGTAACTGAAGGGGCCTCTGTGTGCCTCACTGTTCTCTGAGTTTACTTGTAATCTCTATTTTTAGATAGGGCAGCTGGTACAGATGAGCTGAAATCAAGCAGACAGGTCTATAAGTGCTGATGTCTTTAGCAAACACACACACGCACACACACACAGAAACACAGTTCCCAATGATTTAAAATTAACCAATGCTTGCACCAAGCTTCTAATTTTAAAGATATCTATTTTCTTTTGGTACAATTTTTTAAGCTTTTCTTGTCATTTTTTTCTGCAAATAAGTCCCATGACGTTAATACCATGCAT